AACAGGCCCCTTAGGTGATAAACGTGTAACGCTGTATTTCAACACATTCAATCCTTAGACCAGGTGGAGTGTTAACAAGGTTTCAATACAGCATTCTGAAATGGAGGGTTTTCCTTTTGGAGATTTATATATTATTATTATAACCATTGTATGCGTAATCCCATTCGCCATCATATTTGCAACTGTGTGAGAGCAGCATAGGTAACAAAATAGGAGGGGCATAGGGTTTCTATGCAATTCGCCCCGTATGCGTTATGTAGTCGCAATGGCATTCGTAAGCATTCGCAAAACATTCACAAGGATTCGTAAGAAACTCGCAAGCCTTGACTAAACATTTGCAAGAGTACTCTTAATTTCTGTATTTCTCCAGACCAATCTTATCATTTTCGGCGAATGTGCCGTAAATTTCAAATTTCCATATTGGCAAGTACATTCTTCACTTTGTGAGAGCAGCATAGGAAATTCGGTGCCCCTGCTAAGAACTTGAAGGGGGGGGGGCGCTTACCACCACATCACAGCCACATGCGACATTGTTTTTTTTTTTAAATTTGAGGCTGTAAGGGAGGCGAGTGTCAGATAAAATAGCGTAGCTCGTAAACGAATTTATTTGTTGCTTTGAAAGTCGTACAATAACCCAATGAAAGACTGGGGGTTAAATTATTGTGTGTCTTAGAATTTCCGTCAGGTTGCCAAATAATCGTCTATTAATCTGTCACGAAAAGACGGGTTTCTACATTAAGGAGATATTTTAGTAAATGAAATATCGTATTTATATACAGTCGACCTTTAGCGAATTATAAATAGGTATGTTAGTTGTTTTCATATTGGGGGGTTGGATGGCCGAATGGTTAGCACGCGCGCACTGTATCATACGGTTTGTCATTGAGTCAACTGGCGGGTTTTCAATTCCCCGGTTGTACGTGGCAAGGAGTAGGGTCGCCTGTCCAACCTCGTGGGTTTTCTCCGGTCCTCCGGTTTCCTCCCACTGCTAAAGACCCCTACGCGCAAGTGAATTATTGAAATAAAATTGAACCATGTGTTAGTCCCGAAATGACCTAGTTTGTGTCGAGTGGACGTTAAACCCCATTTCTCTTTCACTCTCTCTCTGTTTTCATATTCTATTACTGCCAGCAAAATCTATCTGGGTGTGGTTCGTTCGTTCTTGGTGTTTAACGTCTGCTTCCACATAAGTGATATCGCAGACAAGACATAGGAGAGCCGAAGCTGATTCCTGTTTTTTAGAATATGATTTTGCAATCTTTCCATTTGGCCTTAGGCCATGGATTTGGTTTAGTGGGAAGTTCTTCCCTTTATTTAATATAAAACATATCGTTTGGTAGATGATCTCGTCTGCTTCTTGATTGGTAGATGTCGTCGTTTGGGATTAGTGTTTAGGTGCCAGGCCCGTCTTATCGTGGCCTCCCCTTACTCCACTATCCCACTCTCTGGGTTTGGTATCAGTTTTATTTGCGGAATAGTGTTTAGGTGCCAAGTCCGTCTGACCGTAACTCCCCCTTACTCCACTATCCTGCCAGTTTGGTATAAATCCCCTATGTAGTTTAGTGTTTAGATGCCGGGCCCGTCTAACCGTGACCCCCTCTTACTTCACTATTCTACTTAGTCCAACTGTGTCCATTAGGGCGTGGATTTGTTCGAAGATTTGCAGTTTCAGATCTGGTCTCGGGAAGAGTAGGTTCTTAGTGTTGAATGGTATGTTGTTGGACTCCATTGTTCTCAATAGTTCCCTTCTCTCCTCCTTGTATACCTCGCAGTCTACCAGGACATGGTTGGTGGTACATTCGTGTCCGCACTCACAGATGATGACTTGGTGTTTGTAGTCTTGCAGCCGCTCTTTCACCCTTAGCTTCGATATAAGTCTACAAATATCTCTTCTAGGGTGATTGAGTGTTGTCTTTGTGTAGATCTTGTCATCCAGCCGGAATCTGTATGTGTCAAGTTCAACGAGATTTAATTCCCAGATTGAATTGACGTGTCTTTTGACCATACTGTAGATTTCCGTGGTGCTGTAATCTATGGTGCGGAGTGGTGCTGTGTCCTTGAGACCTTCATTGGCGAGTCGATCTGCTTCCTCGTTTCCTCTAATGTTGACATGTGATGGAATCCACACGAGTTCTACTTTGCTTCCCTTCTCTAAAACCCTCTGGTACAGCTGCCTGATTTCCAAAATAACTTCTGGTCTTGAGTCCGAGTTGTCATTTTGGATTGAAATCAGACTGCTCAGAGAGTCGCTTGGAATGACGAACTTATTAGTCTTTTGATGGGAAATCCATGATATAGCGTCACGAATGGCCACAAACTCTGCAGTGTACACCGAACAGTTATTGGGCAGTTTCCTGCTTATTCCCTGTTCCCCGTTTGGCAGGTATATTCCAAACGAGCTGGTGTCCCTTTCAGGATTGCGTGAGCCATCCGTGTACACATGGTCCCAGTCATCAGACGGACAGTTGTCTTCCAGGTGTTCTAGAGAGAAAGCACGTGCAGCAGTGGGGTTGTTTTTCTTGTCGGTTTTCTGTAGTAGATCTAGATTAACCGGCGGTATAGGGAGCGTCCAAGGGGCGATCACTGGGGGATCGTGTTCATTTATCACGAGCTCCCCCAGTCGCAGTTCCTTGATTGTTTCCCTGATACCCTGGCCGAAGCTTTTCTTTCTAGGATCTCTCACATATCTTGTATTTTGTAGACTGACAAAGGTTGGGGATCTTTCGCCCAGTTGCGAGATCTTAGCCCAGTACCTTGTCGCTAGTTCTTTTCTTCTTAGGGATAGGGGCAACTCCCCGACTTCCTGCAGTAGTGCCTCACTCCCAGTCATTTGCCCTACGCCAGTCGCAATACACAGAGCTTTGTATTGGATGGTGTCAAGCTTCCTTAAGAGTAATGGCGCGCAGTTCATGAAGGCCAGAGAGCCGTAGTCTAATACAGATCGTATTAGAGCACGATACACCATCATTAGTGTGACTCTGTTGGCCCCCCAAGTGCTGCCCGTTATTTTCCTCATTAAGTTTAGGATTTTGGTGCATCTATCTACAGTCTCGTCGATGTGTGGTTTCCAGGTTAGCCTTCGGTCAAAGATTACGCCAAGGAACTTGGTTTGGTCTTTAAACTCAATGGTTTTCCCGTTCATACACAGAGTCATTCTGCTTATCCCTCTATCCCTGCTTAAAAGCATGCCGACTGTTTTCTTCTCCGAGACTTGGAATCCCCAATCGTTTGCCCATGCCATGAATTTGTCTAAGGCCTTCTGCATTTTCTTTTGTAGTTCACAGAAGTTCCTCCCTTTCCTCCATATGGTACTGTCATCAGCAAATTTAGCTAACTCAGTTTTGGCGTCGAGGTAGGAAGATTTCTGTATGTCGTTGATCATGATATTGAAGAGAGTGGGACTGATAACCGACCCCTGAGGCGTGCCATTTTCTAATGTTTGCTCGGCACTCAGGAATCTGCCAACATTCACCTGTATCCTTCTATCGCTCAGAAAGCTTTTGATCCACCGAACATATTGCCCGTTATACCAATACGTCCTAATTTGAAGAGCAGCCCGTCTAGCCAGACTAAATCGAAAGCCTTAGTTAAATCTACGAACACGACACATAACAGCTGGGTGTGGTATCTTGAAATGGTTTCTATAAGGCTTGAACACAAGCCACAAATCTGAATATGTAATCGTATAATAAATGTATATGATTCAGTAAGAATGTTAGGTAGTGTTATTTGCAAAAGAATGTCACTTTAATATGCTTAATGTGTCATAATGTAAATAATATATTTTTAAAGCCCTTGCATAGCAGACTGTTAAAATGATAGATGCGATCTGTATTGCACTAAGACTTAGTATGCAATGAAAGTGACGAAAAGCTTGTTATAGACCATCACCTTTTAAATTCCATCTGAACCAATAGGTTTATGTCTACGTAAAATTTTCCACTCAAATTGTATAACGGGGATGGGAATTGTCTAGCTAACCTAAGATTGATATATTTTAAAGGATATTATACAAACGGGCAGTAACTCTGTCAATTCTCCGATTTTTAAAAAATTTGGTGTTGTTACAATTGTGAGATGTGCAGCTTTGCGAAAATAACAAGGTTATCGACAACAAATTAATATTTAAAGATAGCTGATAGTTTAAGTTTACGTACCGGTAATTATTTAATCTTCTGTGCGATTATTGCAAACATTAGAAAATAAACTTCTCGAGCTATGTGTAATGTGTTTGCATGATTGTGTTGGTGCGTAAATATGCTTTATTTTGGTTTCTGAGATATGAAGTTGGGTTGGAAATTGAAGCAAAATGGCCAATTTCGCGAACAAGAGGTCCGCCAGTGCCAGTTCGTATTACTAAACAGAGGCCGCGGAGCGATTTCCGAAGTGGGGGGTCTGACATTAATAATTGAGGGACGAAGTTCCGAAAACGAAGCGTGATTTTTTGCATTTTTAAGTAACCCAAAACTCTCCTGCTATCACGTAAGAAAAACTGACCATGACTCACAACTCATGTTATCCATGACGAGAAGAATGCCAGTTATAATTATTAACTATTATAAATGTAGAATGGGATAAAATAACGAATTTTTTTTTTTTTTGTGCAAAAAGTGGAGGGGGGGGGGCTGAAGCCCCTGCAGCCCCCTCCCCCCTGTTCCGCAGCCCCTGCTAAATGGGCATTAACTCAGTCAATTCTGCTCCGATTTAGACAAACTTGGTGTTGTTACAATACTGAAATGTACAGCCTTTAGAAAATAAGCTTCTGAAGAAGAAAATAATATTACTAGTGCTAGCTGGGAAAATGGTGTCGAACCATTGTGGACGTCGGGCTAGTTTTTAGTAAGCTTCGAACTATACTTTAGACACCCATTATGCTATTATCTTATTTGATCCTATCTAACTTATGTTGCAGTGAAAAAGAAACCCGTGTGACCATCATGTCCAGAAACGACATTAATTTTATTTCTTGGCCTAAGCATATTAAGGGGAGGGTAACTCTCATGTGCGAATTCCCTCCACGGCTGAGCTCAATGCATTTCTTCGCAGATGCATTCATTTCCATTTGTTTTTTAACACGTCTCTTTTAATGACAATTTGTTTAAATTTAGTTACTAGGTTAGTTAAAGTAACATCAAAACTATTTTTCGTTGACAGTTACGCTTTTTCAGTGAAAAGTCCAGTAATTATCAGTAGAAAAATCAGCTTTACCGGCATCAACAAATCTAAAAAAAAATTTTCTGACATAGCAAAAATGGCAATAGATGGAAATAAACTGTCGTGGAAAATAAACAATGATCGAATTAAAACAGAATCTAAAGAATTAATTGATGTTACTAAAAAGATATATGATAAAATAGGATCGTTAAGACCGTCAGATATAAACTTCAAGAATGTTATTAAGGTATGGCTTTAAATAAAATCTTAAAAAATCTCTTTTTTTTTGTAGTTAGTAGGTCTACACAATCGGCTAAAACACATTTTTGTATAAGGACCTCTCCTAATGACCACCAAATTTGAAGTCAGTACATATGTTCGTTTTTGCCTTACAGCAATAAATGTGTCCCACAAATGTATTTTGAAACTCAAATTAATATATTTTCTGTGAATTTTTTGGAAAGGATATAAATACATGCTTCTAGAACACATCCTATAATAAATTTTGTTGGTAGTTGAATTATACAAATAGACAGTGTATTAAGGCAGTTATGACTAAATTACAAAAACATGTGTTTCTGTCAAATTTACAGAATCACAGTGGACATGTGCATGAAAAACGCTGAAAACTTACAATAAAATGTCATCTTCAGTAATATTATACTTTTAAATGAATGTGCAATTTTAAAATCTAAAATATTTTTTATTTATCTGAATTTGAAAGTTGTTTTTTTTTCTCACTTTTTAAATGTTACGGACATACAGTGACCCATACTTAAAAAGATTAATACAAGTGTATTTGTAACAGCTGCTGAAGCAAAAAAAATATAAATTTTAAATAACCAAATTAAACTATTGATACTTAGAATTGCAAGGCAATTTATTTTTTCACCCTGAAGGACACTTTTGTCACAAATAGGCCTACTGTGTTTTAGCCGAATGTAATTTGGAATAAGGCCCATGCTATTATATATCTAGCCCAGTGGTTCTCAACCTTTTTTTGCCAACGACACACCTTGGAACACATGAAAAAATAGCGGCACACCTAGCTAAATATATATGAAAATTATTTGAATTTTTTGCTAAATAAAAACATGTTAAGTCAGACAGAATACATACATAGACAGAGACTAGTCATAGACACATAGAATGACTCAAACTAAAAAAATGAAAACACAGCTATGAACTTATCAGTGGACACCAGTGAATACTCAATTGGGATCACATGGTTTTTCACATTTTCTTAGTTTGCCGTTCAAAATTTCAGGGCACACTGGTTGAGAATCACTGCTCTAGCCTAATATAAGCCAATAAGGCACGAAATCTAAATCAATACTTCTAATGGAATCTATAAAAGATCCAATTATGGTTTTTTCTATTAAAACTGTTTGAATTAGAATTTAGATTGATCAAGGACATAATTTAGTCATGTACCCTATAATAATGTCCCCTGTTTAATATTTAGATCAAAAGTTTGATCTATTACATGTTAGTGTGCTGTGGTTCAAGTGAATTGAATCTACATATATATTTCTCATATTTACAATTGTTCCAATGTATTTTCCATCCATATGATTTATGATAAATAAATGTTGTGCTTCTTTTTGTGAATATTGATATTCTGATAAACAGGCCCTGGCTGATAATGATTGTTGGTATGCAGTTAAAAGGAACAATATAGATTTTCTGCAACATGTTTCACCAGATAAAGCTTTGCGGGACGTTAGTATGGAAGCAGATAAAACACTTTCCGAATTTGACGTAGAAATGAGGTAAGATTTTATCTTTGGATTGGATTTTTGAATTTGTGCAACTATGAAAGGGTGAGCTGATGAGGGCAAAAACGTTTGTCCACTAAACAGCATGGCCATCCTTCCTTCTTCTGTTGTCCAGTGTCTTAATTTGGAAGTATCATCTGCATATATTTTTTTGTCAATTATCTGCAAAATTTTAATGAGACATTTTAACTTTTTCACTATTTGATAAATTTCTTATATAAAATCATTTTCAAAATATCACCTGCATGACCTGATTTACAAAAATCTTACAACTGGCTTAATTGTCCACTGATTTTCTTGCACACAATACTAATAATAGTCAAATCGCATCAAACTGAACAATTATTTTTACCTGCTGGTGAAAATATCAAAGTGAAACATCTTGCACCAATAGTTTCTGAAGACCAAAAGTGTTCAGTAAGAATACTTTCCAGCATCTCTTTATTTAAATGTAGTGTCGTTAATGAACACTGGATTTCTATTTACAGCATGCGACAAGATGTCTTTGATGCTCTTATTACGTACCTATCAAAGTATCCTAAAGAGGGGTCAGAAGAAACAAGACGATATGTTGAAAGACAAATTAAACTTGGAAAACGGAATGGTGAGTTATATTTGTACCATAACAAGGTTAAAAATTAAATTTTGAAAGAAAGGTAGCTAATTATAAGTAGCTTGATGATTATCATTTTCAGTCCTGGTTCTGTTTCATCTGTTTGTATGCCCGGGGTTGGGTGGCCGAATGGTTAGCAGGTGCGCTTTGCGTCAGAAGTTCTGGCATTGAGTCAACTGGCGTGGTTTCGATTACCTGGTTGTATGTGACAAGAAGTAGGGTTGCCTGTCCAACCTCGTTGGTTTTCTCCAAGTCCTCTGGTTTCCTCCCACTGCTAAAGACCCGTGCGCGCAAGCGAATTATTGAAATAAAATTGAACCATATGTTAGTCCCAAAATGACCTAGTTTGTGTCGAATGGAGGTTAAACCCCATTTCTCTCTCTCTCCTGATTGGCAAAAAAGTCTGGCCGCAGATGTGCTGAATTGGATATCAAGATATGGTGAATAAAACTCAAAATTCCTAAATTGTTGACTGCACTGAGAGCATAACAGGATATTATAATAATAGGTGCTAATCTCAATTATCTGTTGTAATAGGATATTATAATAATAGGTGGGATTAAGTGATCAAACCAATGTCTTGACTAACAACTTAATCTGCGTGATTCCCTATGTATTTTAATCCTGAAAACAATTCATGGTCTCTCCTTTGCAGGACATCTTAATCCCATGTAAAAAGTATTCAAAGATGTCACATATCCTAAACATGTGTACAAACCGTGTGATTTGATGATTTAATTGGACTAAAAAGATGTTCAGACTAATTTATCTGTCAAAACTTGCTTTGAATCCCTCTCAAAACATTTTAATCATAAGAAAACTAACTACTCAGTCTAATCAATTTTTATCATGTGTGTATTAAATCACGAGCCTCTGAATTGATTTTTTACGATCTTTTTTTTTATGTTTTATTTTTGTTGCTTCAATAACTAACCTGTCACTTTTAAATAAACACCCTTTAATTGTTTTGGTCCTTATTTTGATCCATATGAATATTGTGATATGAAACAGTTGTATTTCTTTGACTTAGGCAGAACTAATAATTCTCGCCATAAAAATATCAATTATTCATTTATCATGTTGTTGTCTTGTTAAATATTGACTTGTTATTAATTGTGATATGAATCGTATCATAGTACCTGCAGCCGCAGCCGCTGTTTAATCGCAGAGTCTATTATATGCTTAATTCTCTCAATATTCTCACAGCTGTTAGTCATTAGATCAAGAAACACTCTTTCTTCACCCAAGCAGGCAGCTTAACTCGGGATATGGTCAAAAACCCCATCAGTCAGAACCCCTCTAGGTCAAAACCCCCTTAAGCCAGAACCCCCTCAGGTCAAAACCCCCCATTTTTATATTATATAATATTAAAATCATTTCAAAATTATGTTTTTGTGGTTTGTGAAGTGAAGTACACAACAAAATTGATTGTTTTTATATTTTATTTGCAATTATATGGGTGAAATTATTTCCATCGGATGGTGTGCCCAATACCTTTTATGGTTTGCACACAGGTTGTAAAGTCTTTCTTGTAGATCTTTTGTTGTTTTTTGGTGGTTGTCCGCATGAATATTGCAGGAGTGCAGTCTTGACATTGCTGTGATCCAGACGGAGATGTTCGGGAGCCTGCCAGATTGTGGGGTGTGTTATTCCCAGCAGGTAACTAAACGCCCTGTTCCAAGACTCGCATAGATTGTTAGTGCGAGACCCACCACCAAGTGTTGTCAGATGAACGTTCCAGAGGTCTGCTGGGAATAGGGGTGGTATAGGAGATTTTAAATTGTAGTGCCATGACTTCAGTTCAGATTGATCAGATAATTGCATTTCACTTGAATGATTACAATAACTGAGGCTATGTTATTCCTAGTAAAAAGCAGATTATGTTATGTTAATTGTGTGGTCAATTGTCTTAGTTGGTCATCATATTTTTTTTTTAAATAATAATATTTTATTTTTCAAATATTTTTTTTTAAATAATAATAAATAAATGAAATAAATTAATAAGAAAAAAAAATAAATAAAAAAGGGGGGGGGGGGTCCCTTTTTAATTTAAGTCCAAGGGGGTTATGACCTAGGGGGTTTTGACCAAGGGGGTTTCGACCTAGGGGTTTTGACCAGAGGGGGTTTTGACACGGACACGCTTAACTGACAGCATATACATCTTTATACACCCACCTTAACATGTGGATGTATTATGTCACCTCCCCCCCCTCCCTGTCTGTGTGTCCATTCACATTTGTTTGTGGACACTCTACGTGTCACAATGTTTTCCCCAAAGATCTTGGTTCCTTTTGATATTGGCACGTATTGGACTGTAACTTCATGAATTATTGCCCCTGGTTGTACGAAAAATCACGTTTTTAGCTTGTGGACACTGGAGATGTCACAGTTTTTAATTAGAGGTCACAATTTTTGTTTTATTTTTATGAAACATAAAATGTATATTAATATCTCAAAGATCTTGGTTCCTTTTGATAGTGATGATTGACTTCTTGTTACCTAATTCTTGTCACTGTTAACCACAACTAAAATTGTAACATGGACAGGAAATCTTCATTTGCTCTTTTCGTTGAATAAGCAGATTGTTTTCGCTCTTGTAGATTGGGTGGAGCTTAGTTTATGCCAGTTTTAGTAGAAATCATATAGAGAAGTGGGGTGGGTTTCTGTGCAATAACATTTTCGGTCCTATCTGAATGGAGAGGAAAATAACCGTCTGTAAAATTTAAATTTAAAAATCAAGGTTGTGGACCCTCTAAAGGTCACAATTTTGATCCGATTTTGATGAAACTTGAAATAAATGTTTATAACCCAAACTTAAACTAAGATAAAATCGAAATTTTAAGAAATACTGCAACTTCATTGGATATATGCAAATTGATTTTACTGGTCAACCAATCGAATTGCAGTATTTCTTAAAATTTGGATTTTATCTTAGTTTAAGTTTTCTCGAATAAGGGCCCAGGTTCTTTTCGATATTCGTGCATATCGGATCGTAACTTCCTGAATTATGGCCTTTGATTGTACTAAAAAGTCACAATTTTTTTTCCAATTTTAAAAACCATAATGAAGGTTGAATTCGAATTTTGGGAAAATCGAAAAGAAACTCCCCGACAAAATGGCCGGTCTTTGTACGCAAATTATGTAAAAGTATGTAATATGAAGGTTTTGGACCCTCTCGATGTCACAATTTTTATCCGATTTTAATGAAACTTAAAATATATATATATATCCCAAAGATCTCAGTCCCTTTTGATATTTGTGCATTTAAGACCATAACTTTCTGGATTATGGCCCCTGATTGTACAAAAAATCGCTTTTGTTTTTAGCTTGTTCTTTATCCATCTCTTGCAAAATGTGGGCGTATCTTCCCTGGCAGCCGCTGGTTCTATTTATGAACACATACCTTTAGTCCTTCATAGTGTTATCTTAAATGAAAAAATATTGCTTTAGAAAAAGTTTTAAATAATTTCATTAACCCATATCTTTATCTCTTAATTTTAGGGAATTATTGTTTTTTTTAAACTTTGTGATGTTTTTAGTATATATGTGATCTGCTATTTTTGTGGGGTTTTTTTTTTAGGTCTTCATTTATCAAAAGAAATTCAAGATAAAATTAAAGCTCAGAAAAAAAGAATGAGTGATCTGTCTATAGATTTTGGTAAAAATCTGAATGAAGAAAATACAACTCTAGAATTTACTGAAGAAGAACTAGGTAATACTCTCCACCCCCACAACCCCCCCCAAATCCTATTTCTGTTACGGAAACTTTTCGGGGGCTCCATAAACCACTTACAATCGGCAAAGCAGACCAGTGTGTGAAGTATTAGGGGAAACAATTAATAAGTGGTTGTTTGAAACACAACTTAATTCCAGTTCATTCAATAAAAATAAAATTTGGCCTTAGATTGTTTAAAAAAAATTAGTAGAGATATATATATAATACAAGCAATAATTTATTCTGTTTGGATGGTGACTTTATAGTGTTTTTTGTTTGTTTTTAAAATTTACTATTGTATAAATTGTTTTTTTCTTCCAGTTGGCTTGCCTGAAGATTTTGTTAAAAGTTTAGATAAGGTAAGTCCTTATATCAGAGAATGAAATTTTTAGAAAGAAACAAATGAGTATCTAATCAACCATGGTCAGTATATAGTATGCATAACTTTCAGTGAATAGACTTTGTTTTGAAAAATTAAATTATTTGCCTCGTAATTGCAGGCAGATAGTGGTAAATTAAAAGTGACCTTGAAATATCCTCACTATTTTCCTTGTATGAAAAAAGCAAGAAATCCAGAAACAAGGAAAAGACTTGAAATTGCTTTCAATTCTCGGTAAGTATGTAATCAGTAAAAAATGATTTTTCCTATAATTAATGCTGTGACAGGTGAGCAATTAACGGCAGATGCCTTAACCTGTCCGAAATTAAAATAACAGGCAAGTAATTTGTCACTCACCTGCAAAGCATGTGGCACACTTTCAGAAATTTATGTAAACCGGTACCCCAAACTGTTATACTTAAATAGATTGTAAACAGACAACGCATGTTTATCTTTGATCGTCCAAATCATCTATACAATCCATTAGAGTTTGAGATAGAAGTCAGAATTGATATATGATGAGCATAAATAAACAACTCTAAAATCTGGCATTATCATAATCGACAGATGTATATTGATATTGATACATGTTTATTAAGGTGTCCAGACATTTTCATTTTAAGTAGGCTGACGATTTTGCAACATTGAGTATAAAACCTGTATTCTACTTAGGTGATGGTGTTTTGGAGGTAGCTTGAAATGCTATCATTGACAAAAACAGCTTTCTTATAAACAAATACAGTGATGATATCCATTTGAATATTATCTATAATGATTCCCTTTATATATTAGGTGTATGAAAGCAAATGTTCCTATATTAGAAGAATTAATCAAACTAAGACATGAGGTAGGTTTCCGTCTGGTGTAAAAAGCACTGACTAATTTATTTACCGTTCTTTCAGACTTGCATCATTCATATATCTTAATCTGAACTTTTGAGTTTTTTAATACTTTGATAGTGTTATTCTAAAAAAAAAAACCTAGGTGGTATGGTAGTTTGTAATTGAACTCAATTTATGTCTATTATAACCGGGTAGCATACCAGTAATTGGGATGCCTCATACTATTTGTTAATTAACATATATATACACTGCTAGTATTTGGTTCTTGATTGCTAATATATTCTCTGTTGAGTAATGTATTGTTTTGAGTGTTGTAATGTTTGACAGTCTATTGAGTTAAGGGGTAACTACTCTGTAATTTTTTTCATATTAGAGAAAGAAATGCAGGTTGAAATTAATGTGACTGTTGATGAGTGGCATTTAGAACATTAATTTTTTTGCTCTCATCAATTTGTTGTTTTCACAGTATGTGAAATCACAGCAATTTGTTTTTTCTTACAAATCCCTAAAATTAGGAAAGTGAAGTTTATTATCCTAATCGGATACCAGTTATCTGACCAGATAGCATATTTTTATAATTAACATAAACATATATGTGCCTATGAAATTCAAATCATGCTTGCCAAGGAGTTTCATTTTTGAATAAAATGTGATTGCATGCAATTCTCACTTTAAATTGTAACTATTCAAATCCTAAAAAAACCTTTTAATTGTGTGTGATTTACCATTACAAACTCGAAATGTCACAGCCAAGTTAATGAAAAATGTGGACTTTGCATGAACTTCAGTATTCATTCGAAATCTATTTTCAATTCAAGCTTTATTTTCTTAAATGCAGACCATGCAAAAGAACATATTGCAGTTATAGGTTTTTAAGACCATACACATTTTTAAAAAAATACTCTTAATGTAATCAATCCTTAGATTTTAACCATTTCAAGTTTACATTGGTTTCTATTCATTTCAAAATGCCATTATTGTGCCTCATGCTGTCATTTGAGATATATTTGATTTGTAAAAAAAAGGAAGTTTAACCTCCTCCTTTTCTACGTCAAACAGTCTAATAAAGACCGGCATGCGTCATCCACTGTGCTATGAGGAACATGTTGGTCTACTCTTCATAGAATTGCCAGCCCCATTCAAATATCCTGAATAAAATATTGTCAAGGCTTCTTTTATAGCCTGACAAGCAGGCATCGATATTTCCACGCACATGCGCACGGTGTGCGCAGGCACATTTGCTTTAAAAAAATTTTTGCAGGCACATTTTCAAAGATGTAGCCACGCAAAGATGTAGCACTATTTTTTGCCGCCCAGCACAAAGAAAAAATCGAAGGAAGTTGCCTAGTCGTATTTAAACCCCTTCGTCCTTCTCTGTACACAAACTCGGCGCTCGAAATTTACCACGGCAATTAAACGGCAAAGCCATGGTAAAAGCCGACGTACGCAAACCATGTCTGTCACGGCATAATTTATTTTTGTGTGCCGTAGTAGACCCTATCATCCCAAATTAGTTTAAAGAAAGATGTATTGGTATTTTGTTTATTTATACTTAGAAGATGTGTAGGCCTAGGTCTATTCATTTTACAATTATTCTACGGTCTTTATATTTGTTTATTTGCCGTAAATAGGTCACCCAGACCAATTTACGGCACTCCAATGTTAAAGGTTTGAATGTCGTAATTGTCCAACACGTGCCTGCAAATTTTCACGATGTTTCTTATTTTATTTCTTACCTGTGTTGACCGTGGATTTGCTACTGCCCAAGAGTAGGACTAGGAGGACGATGAGAGCTTTCTCAGTTTCTGCCTGACCTGATTCTCATTCCACCGTAATAATAATAATATTCGTGAGACACGTACAACAACTTTACAAACATTGAAACAGGTCAAATAATACAACGTGTTTTAATTATCAATATCTACCTGTTGTCATAATTCGTTGTACTCAAATAAAACACCGTTTTAAGAATCGTTTTAATTTTTAATCTCAAAGTAATAAAGTAATATTTGAAAAAAACCCCAACAAAACAACAAATACCGAAAGGTCCTCAACTTATCTATCCAGAGAAACAGAGTGGGGTGGGACAATTTTATGCTCGGTCGGGTGGTGTCAAAAAGTTTTTAGATTCCTGTTAAATTGATGAAAATTAAGTGAATTTGGTAAAATTTGAATATATCAATGGAAATTTGATTTGCATTGAACCAAATACAAAAGGCAGCAGATGCTCTGAAAATACACCAAGAAGGGTTTAATTTTCATAAAAGACCACGCCCCACTCCCAAATTTTTTTTTGCCTAGCTCCGCTCGCCAAATATATTTTTACACCACTCACCAAATCCTGGCTACATCCCTGTGTTTCAGTATGACCCTGCAGGCACATTTTCAAGTGTGTGCGCAGGCACACTCAACTTTTATAGAGCCCTGCTGACAAGGACAGTTGTCTAGTCGTTCGGATGGGACGAAAAACCGATGTCCTGTGTACACATTGGCGTGCACGTAAAAAATCCCTTGGTAGTTGGAATTCGATATAAGAGTAGGCCGTAGTGCCGCTGCCCGGGCAAAATTTCCCTCATAGCACACTGTATGGCATATGCCCGTCTTTATCAGCCCAGTTTAGGAGCAGAACAGTAGGACGTTAAACCCCATTTCATTTCATTTCATTTCTTTTATAATATCAAAATAATGTTTGGATTATGTGTTTCAATGTGTGCTTATATTTAAATCACTAAGAAAGATTTATTTGTTGATTTACAGATCTAATTTGAATTATTCTAACATTTAGTTACTAAAACCCCCAATGAAAACTATATTTGAATTATCCAACCGGATAATGAAAATGATGACAGTCTAGCTGTATCCGTCTGGATTAACTGTCTGGTTCACCGCCAACTTAAAATTTATGTTCTTGTTTTACAGAAGTCTCAGCTTCTTGGCTTTCCAAACCATGCCAGTTTTGTGTTGGACATGAGGATGGCAAAATCACCAGATTCTGTGGCAACATTCCTAGGAGATCTTGCCAAAAAATTACAACCCTTAAAAGATGCAGAAATCAAATTGTTTCTAGACTATAAGAAAGAAGAGGTATTATTTGACACTTCTCACAGTTTTGATCACTTTTGAATTAAAATTCCATTAAAGATTTTATTATTTAGGCTTATTTAAGAGACAAATTCAGTATGTTATAATTCTTAACACCATTAAATAGAGGATGACAAAAACAATACCGGTAGTCATGTTCGCTATAATAGTTTTGTTAATTTTTTCTGGATGTTTAAAAAAATCCTTTAATATAAACTTTGCTTTTCATGTTCCATTTTATTTGAAAAGTTTGACATTTCCAATTTATAATAATCATTTTATTTTTTTTATTAATTTTAGTGTGAGAAATATGGTTACCCATTTGACAATGTATTAAACATGTGGGACTTTCGTTACTACATGACAATGGTGGAAGAGAAAAAATATGCCGTCGACCAGAATAAACTAAAAGAATATTTTCCTATGGATGTTGTTACTAAAGGACTATTAGACATTTATCAGGTAACATACAATCTAATTTTCTCTTTTTTATGAAAACATTTTCCAGTAATTGGAATTAAAATATTTAGAGTCTGACACATGTTATTATGTTTCATTACTCTACCCTACCCTTCCCTACTCTACGCTTCCTACTCTACTCCACTCCACTCCATTCGATCTGGGGGATATTCCTGGAAACAAATATTGTGATATTTTCAGAGATGTTTATTTTGTATTTCAGGAATTGTTAGGTTTAGAATTTAAGAAAATTGAAGCAGAAGTATGGCAGGAAGATGTTACCATGGTAATATTTTAAACAATATTATGATACTTAGTTGAGAATGATCATAACAGTTGCATAAATAAGCAGGGCTCATGAGAGTGGGGAACAGCCAAATACTTGTCCAGGGGCCCGGAGCCTAGAGGGGCCCGTAGGTATGCCGAGTAATGTTTTTAAAAAATGTGTAGGTTTAAATTAATAAAAAAAGATACACTGTTACTTAAATGTAAAGTGGAAGAAAACCGGTGACTTTGCTGAATGTGGGTGCCTAGTGGCGTGGGTATTATTAGAATCGGATTGGTGAATTACAAACTATAAGCCTCCTGCCAAGACCTTTGTGCTGTGGAGCCCCAGCCCGTAGTCATCTCGCTTGAGGCACTCACCACCGTCAGGGTATCTGGGACCCCTTTTATTTAAAACCAGTTTCTGTGTTTTAGCCAAGTGGTGAGCCCCAGTGGTTAAGTGGGTAAGATGCTGGCTCGCTAACCTGGCGGTTGCGTGTTTGATCCCTACATTGGCCAAGAAAGTTCATCAGGATTTTCCGACAGGGTTTTCCCTTGTTAGTGGTGCAGGACGGAGGGCCTGACAAGGACAGCTGTCTAGTCCTTTAGATGTGAAGAAAAACCAAGGTCCCGTGTATACATTGGTGTGCACGTAAAGGATCCCTTGGCAGTTGGAAATAACAGCATCAAATACTTTAAGAAAATGTTTATCCTCATATGAAATTAATTATTATATGTTTTATTTTCAGTACACTGTAACAGATAAAGCTACTAGTGAATTATTAGGTTGTTTTTATCTAGATCTATATCCCAGAGAAGGCAAATATGGTCATGCTGCTTGCTTTGGTTTACAGGTTAGTCTACACCAGTGCTTCAACTTCAACATTTTCAGTCGTCATTTTTTTGCTAATGCACTAAAACTTTGCAAATTAAATTCATATTTCATGTTTTTATATGCCCACATTTTCATGTGGACGTATATTTTCGTCGTCCCTGTCCGTCAGTACATCCACAATTTGTTTGTGGACACACTAATGGTCCCAATTTTTATCCGATTTTGATGAAACTTTAAATGCATGTTAATAACCCAAAAATCTTGGTTCCTTTCGATATTCCTGGATTATGGCCCCTGATTATATGGAAAATTGTGTTTTTTAGCGTGTAGATTCTCTAGAGGTCACAATTTTTATCCGATTTTAAAAACCATTTAAATATATCACCATTTCACCATAATGAGTGTTGAATTCGAATTTCGGGAAAATCAGAACGAAACTGACCAACAAAATGACCGCTCTTTGTACACAAATTGTGTAAAAGTATGTAATACAAAGGTTATGGACGCTCTGGAGGTCACAATTTTTATCCGATTTTGATGAAACTTAAAATATATCTTTATATCCCAAAGATCACAGTACCTTTCAATATATGCACATTTCAGACCATAACTGTCTGGATTATGGCCCCTGATTGTACGAAAAATCGCTTTTGCTTTTAGCTTGTTCTCTATCCATCTCTTGCAAAATGTTGGCGTATCTTGCCTGGCAACAGCTTGTTTATTTGTAGCCTGGCTGTTTGTTACCAGATGGAACAAGACAGATAGCTATAGCAGCTATGGTAGCTAACTTTACAAAACCTACAGCAGATCAACCGTCTTTACTTACTCATGATGAGGTATAGTTAAATATAATACTGTAAAAAAATGTGTATTGAAATTAATATGATTGGTATCTTTTAATGCATTAATTTCTTGTTTTACACAAACGTAGAACCAGGGAAGTTTCCAGAATAATTCCAATCAAATGTTACCTGATTGTTTTTGACAGAACTTGTGTAGATTATTTGTTCATCATTATTATTTCTATTTAGGTTGAAACTTATTTCCATGAATTTGGTCATGTAATGCATCAAATTTGTGCTCAGACTGAATATGCTCTGTTCAGGTAAGATACTGATAAATTATGGTTTACGTAATTCTTGTTATGTAAGGGGGGTAACTCTCATGGGGTATTTGCTTATACTGTAGGATAAAATATAAGATGTAGAAATTCAACTAAAATTGAGCCTGATGTCGGAATTTTAACAAATTTAATGACTATTTTTTATTAATAGAAGTAAATAATACATTTACAGTTGTCATAGAATTGAGGCTTGTAGATGAGAGCTAACTTGGATCTCTCCTTTTATTTTATTTGAAGAAAGGACTTACTTTTTTTCTTCACAATACACTATTTTAATTTACATCTCTTACACAGTGGTACAGCCGTAGAAAGAGATTTTGTAGAAGCACCATCCCAGATGTTAGAGAACTGGTGTTGGGAGAAAGAACCATTAAATCGTATGTCCAGCCATTATAAAGATGGAAGTGCTATACCAGATGAATTGTTAGAGAAACTTGTAACTAGTAGAATAGCTAATGCTGGTTGTTTTAATTTACGACAAATTCTATTAGGAACCTTTGATCAGACTATCCATACTAGATCTCAGGTATATCTTATAATTTTTTACATTTTATATACCAATTCTCCCCCTTTTTTAGTGTTGGGGAAAAGCTCAAGTTGGAGGCAATGCAGGTGTAAGATATACTTCACGGCAGCAACTTGAGAAACATAGCAAAAAGAATACCTGGGGTCGTCAGGCCAACAGCTTTGTTTTCACATGGGTTTCTTTCCTGGGACAATCTCCTGAGATTAACCATGCAAGGGTGTTTTTAAGGGGCAGTAATTTGGCTAAATCGATTTGAAAATCATTTTTTCAAGTAAAATTATAAATTTATCAACACTATTTACTGAATCGATTATGCTAATCTATCTTCTGGACTAATAAGTATGCGAGTTAATTTCCAAGATAGCAGCACCTACAGAGAACTATATACTTTTTAAAATTATTTTTCACTTTAATTGTGATAATTGTTATCATCGTTTGTTGTGTAAAAGGAAAAATGTGATTACAGCCTTGTTTAATAGATTTACCTCCCTTGAATTGTATTGAGTTTTCAAAGAACACGATTCCATGTCTGTGGTTAGTGGAAAATGTTTATTTGAGACTACTGTAACAGCAATTCTATTTTTGTATTTAATGTATATTTAAAGTATATCTTTAGTATGATTAATTGAAGTGGATGATGACATTTTATTGACAGATGCTGAAGATTATTACTTTTTATAACCATAGAAATTTCAGATCTTATATTGATGAACCATTGTATTGAACACCAGAATTAGCATTACCAGTATTTTGTACTTTTATTTCATATTTATTTTTAATTTGAATCCAGGCTGACACAGCAGCTGTATATGATAAGCTGTGTAAAGAAATACTAGGTATAGATGCAACACCAGATACTAACATGCCAGCTACATTTGGTCATATGGGTGGTGGCTATGATGCACAATATTATGGCTATATGGTAAGTTTAGTATCCAGTTTGAAACTATTATAATAGATATATATATACATATATATATTTCTTGTATAATGATCCAATGTGCGAAAATTCTGTCAATGGAGACCTAAATCAAATCAGTGTAAAAATCAAATAGGACAATAAACAATCTGAACAGTGGATTTGTTGTGGATGTATACTGTATCCAGTCAGTAACTGTATATTTTGACTTGAAATTGGATCAAGAACTATTATCATTATCATCTATTAATCACTTTTAATAAAAAAAACAATAATTTTTGTTCACATTTGTGACCCATTTTAAGGCCTATTTCAATTTCATTCACAAAAAAGAGTCAAATTTGATCCCTGATATAAAAAATTACATCAAGTTGAAAGGATTTAGATGTATAGAATTAGACTCATATTTTTTCATTTTCCGACGTGGTTTCCCCTTATCAGTGGTGCAGAATGGAGGGCCTGACAAGGACAGCTGTCTAGTCCTTCAGATGATACGAAAAACCGAGGTCCCGTGTATACATTGGAATGCACGTAAAAGATCCCTTGGCAGTTGGAATGCGATATAAGAGTAGGCGATAGTTCCGCTGCCCGGGCAAAATTTCCCTCATAGCACACTGTATGGCCTATGTCCGTCTTCATTAGCCCAGTATAGGAGCAGAAAAGTAGGACGTTAAACCCCATTTCATTTCATTTCATTTTCTCATATTTTTTGGGACCAGCTATTAAGTTTTTATTTTATTTTATCTGCCAAACATTAATCACATAGTTAGTTAATATAACACATTGTATATTATGTTGTCAATTTAGCAAAAATTGAAATCTTATAGCTTATGAATTAAAAGCAGTAGAAATTTTTATTTTTATTCATTTAGTGGAGTGAAGTATTCTGTATGGATATGTTTTATTCCCGGTTCCGTAAAGAAGGTATAATGAGTTCTAAAGTTGGTGCCGACTACAGAAATTATATTTTGAAACCAGGAGGTTCTTTGGTATGATTTACTTTAATTTAAAGTTGACATTTGGAATTACAGTATGCCTCTTTGTAACAAAACCTTGTTAACACTGTGAAGGTTACAGAGGAGAACAGCTTATTGATTTCCCATAACTTGTTAATTTTATAGATACTACAATTATGACCTGTAATCCCATAGTGGAATTTAGCGATTGGAAACATAACACCAAAATTTCAAGAAAATTCATCACATAAACTTTTCATTTATTTTTTTCCAATACACCTTGGCACCACTGATCTATAGTTAATATATAGATCAGTGCTTGGCACAGATAACTTGACAAGAGTCTAAAATAGAGTTTTGCACAATTATCACTCCAAATATAATGGGGAGAATAAGTGGTGTGGATGTTTTTTGATGAACCGTTTTTTAATGTCATCGATATCTAGCTCGAAAAGTATAGTTGACGTACATTAGGACTTAGCTTGTCAGTCGATCCTCCCCTCTGGATCCACCCCTGTTTTGTGTTTTTATAACAATAATGTATTGTGACAGTTCCCCATTTTGGTCTGGGGATTACAACGTTACTGGTGGGCATGTTTCATTGACTGACAACCTATGTAGCAGTGGGGATGGGGAGTATCACGTATCCAACCCCTATGGATCTGCCCTTGTTTTGATTTTGTTTAATAATAATGTATTGTGACAACATTTCTGGTGGGCATGTTTCATTGACTGACAACCTATGTTTATATGATATTCCCTTCATTTTACTTATCAAATTTGCTTGATTTCAGGATGCGGAGGTTATGTTAAGGAACTTTTTGGGTAGAGATCCACAACAAGAAGCATTCTTAGTAAGCAAAGGTCTGCAATAATGAAGACAATTTTGAACTATGTTGTTTGTTTATGATAATTTGTTATTCAGGACATAATCAAATAATAAAGTTCGATTTTCATTACTGAGAACTGTTTTTTTAAACTTTTTATGTAATAACGCCATCGTAAATGTCTATTATTATCAATTATCGAGTGGGCAAAGTCTACCTTTAAATGTTCTCGTTAACAGTTAGTCCAACCTGTCCAACAATTCTAAGATCTGAGATCGATATGTGGTCAAAATTTGAATTATTTATATTAGAAGATACTATTATCACCTGGAAAAGTTAGTCCTTATATCCATTCAAAGAGCATCCTTTCCGCTTTTTGGGCAGTAGGCATACATTGTACTAGTAAATCTATGTAAAAAAAATAAAAACATGCCTGAACTACTGTTACTTCTTGATTTTATTTGAAAATATTTAGTAAATACAGGAATAGACAATGTCATGATCATTATTTGAGTGGGAAAGAAAACAATCTGTTTAATCAATTGTTTTGTTTCATACTATGAGTGTTTGTCCTCATTTGATGTAACGCTTACACCACAAGAGTGAGTTTCCTAAAGTGTTATTTGTATTATAAATTTATATCCTGTTAAAGCTGTATTCCATCAGAGAAGGAAAAATGTATTAACTTTTATTTCACAAGTATAAAAGGATCTTTTTATCTGATTCAAATCTAAAATTACTACAATATAGACTACATGTCATTTACTAATCATGAACTATGACCCATGACCTCCTGCACCTTAAAGGTTTCAATTATGATGCAATCTTTCTGTAATTTATATTGGTTGTCAATCTAATTAATTTTCAGCAATTTTTGATAAACCTTCACTGTTATTCTCGTTTGTTATATGTCAGTATGGAAATGTGGTCGTATATTGCCGTTGCCTACCTCTGTCTGTCTGTCATCCACAATTTCTTGTGAACACCCTACACACTACATTTATTATCTGTTGTTGACATTAATGAGACGAAGAAGCCTATTTAATTAAAACAATTTCCATTAATTACTTCTAGAGTTATGGTCCTTGTTTCTCTTTGTAGAACCTTGTGATCGGTCTAATGACATAAGTTATCATCCGATCTGTATTAAGTTTATATGCGTTATTTAGATTAGTAACACGAAGAAGCCTATATAATTTTAGCCATTTCCGTATATAACTTCTAGATTTATACATGGCCATTGTTTCATTTTGTTGGACCATGTGAACCTCTAACCACGAAAGATATCATCCTGTCAGTATCAAATCTATATGCATTATTTAAATTAGTAAAATGAAGAAGCCTATCGAATTTCTGTTAATAACGCCAAGAGTTATGGCCATCGTTTCACTTTGTTGATCCTATGAAATTAATATGCATTATTTAGATTAGTAAAACAAAGAAGCCTAGTGAATTACTTATAGCCTTTATTGAACTTTGTTGAGCTTTGTGAACTCTCAAACCGCTAAAGTGATCATCCCTTCTGTATAAAACTGATATGCATATTCAAATTATTAAAACGAAGAAGGCTGTTGCATTACTTATACACTTTGTTTTACTTTGTTGAACCTTGTAAACGATGACTTAAGTTATTATCCGATCTGTATTAAACTGATATGCATTATTTCAATTAAAACCAAGAAACCTGTTGAATTTTAGTTATTTTTGTTAATTACTTTTAGAGTTATAGCCCATGTTTCACTATGTTGAACACCTTGTCAGGCCAAAAGTTATCACATTATTTAGATTAGTAAAATGAAAAAGCCTGTAGAATTTCAACAATTTCGGTAAATAACTTCTAAAATTATAGCCTTTTTAAAAGAATTCAAAAGAAGAAGATAATTGATTCTTGGTGATATTCCCCTTTGTTATGAAGTCCACATCCATCCGTCTTAACACCAGGGCCCTGATTCACGAAAACTTAAACTAAGTTACAACCGAAATTTTAAGAAATACTGCAACTTCATTGGATATATGCAAATTGATTTTACTGGTCAGCCAATCGAATTGCAGTATTTCTTAGAATTTCGATTGTATCTTAGTTTAAGTTTTCGTGAATAAGGGCCCAGAGGCTACAATAATACATATCATAAATTTACCCAAAACAACCCCAAAATATCTGTTTGAAACAGATGTGGGTTGTATATCTCATTGAAATGAATACATGAACTGTTGATTTTCCATTCTGTTAATACAGTATTTATCAGCACATCCCAAAACGCCGGAAAGGATCGGTATTTATCGATAAATACCCATGGACTCAAGTCCATATCAGAGACGTTGTTGGAATAGGAGATCTAGTCCAGTGTATTGTATAAATGAAACACATCATTATATATATATTAAAGGAGCTAAATCGCTAACATTTGGGACCTAGAAATTGACAAAAGTGGGTCGCAACGCATATAATACTGTAATATGAATGTATATAAACTGATTTACATTCAATGGTTTCCGTTTTTATTCCAATTTCAAATCAGTTATGTTCGGCGAAATAAGCCAGCAGTCTCAAGCGAGTGCAAATTTCTAGCGTCTGGTTATTCCAGCCTACATTCGCCGTTAGATTTGGTGCAATGTGTCTAGCCTCGTCCCTCGAGTCTCTTGATACATCTGGGGCTGAAGCGCATTATGGTACACGATTCGTGTACCAATGGTAAAATGTTTATTTTGTCTTAAATATTGGATATCAAAAGCCCATCTTTTCCCGGTAAGATCACAACATGAATGTTGATTTAATTTTACCAATAAATCGTGTTTTCAATGTTGAAGATTTTGGATGATATTGAGTAAGAGACTTAGCTACTTTAAGCATGCGAAACTTTTAAGAGGGTAATAGGAAGCGGGTTTCCGGCAAATCTTTCACGTATAATTATTTTATAATATATGTATACCATTATCATACAGGAGACCGCTTTTCAAGTAAAGTGATGTATTTACTAGTTCTTATCGTATCTCTGATATTACCAATATTAGCTAATTTTGCAAACACTGCTTGCCATTGTACCACAGGGTGTCCAGATGGATCCTATAGATGTAGCGGCGATTGTAATCAGTCGTGGTCAGGTCCAACGTGCCAGCGCCAAAACATAGCTCTATTCCAGAGAACATCTCAGAGCGGCAATTACGGTAACAGAGGATCTTCCAGTAATGCCGTAAATGGTAATACAGATAGCCAATTTAATAAAGGAAGTTGTCAACATACTAGTGGTGGTAACCCCAAAAGTGCCTTTTGGAGTCTGTTTCTTTCAGAGAAGACATGGATTTATAATATGCGGATTTATGACCGCACTGATGCCCACGATAAAACAAGACTGATGGGTTTTGAAGTGTATGTAGATGGTCAGCTATGTTATGCATGGAATATAACTACATTAACCCCGCCAGTGATCGATATCCAATGCCCCTCTCCTATTTTGGGATCAAATATAACCGTTTTTTTGCCACCCAATGGGAAAAACCGATATCTGCACATCTGTGAGTTTGAAATTTATCAATGTAGCGACAACTGGTTTGGAGACAAATGTGATAACGTATGTCATTGCAAAACAGATATTTGCGATAAGAACACTGGCAGATGTTCGGCTTGTTCTTCTGGTTATAAAGGATCACAATGTCAGGAAGTTTGCCCACCTTTGTCTTTCGGGGATGGTTGCAATAGCACCTGTAACTGTTTTGATTCTACTGAGACGTGTAATCCTGTTTCTGGTGAGTGTGAATCGGGTTGCCCAGCAGGTTATCAAGACATCGATTGTCAAACTGTATGCAAAGTAGGTGCTTACGGTCCAATGTGTAACGGCACATGCCATTGTGATAAAACGGATATATGTGATCGCGTGACAGGACAATGCAAATTTGGGTGCTCTCCGGGATTTTCCGGCTTCAATTGTCAAGATCCTTGTAAAGACGGTACTTATGGTGGAGGATGCAATAGGACCTGTAACTGTTACGAATCTAACGAAACGTGCGCCGTCGATTCAGGAGAATGTTTAACTGGTTGCGCGCTGGGTTTCAATGGCACCGATTGCCAGACATTATGCCCAACCGGTACATATGGATCAATGTGTAATAGTTCATGTAATTGTCGTGACAGAACGGAAGCGTGCGATCATGCAACAGGCCATTGTGATAAAACGGATATATGTGATCGGGTCACTGGACAATGCAAATTTGGGTGCTCTCCGGGATTTTCCGGCTTCAATTGTCAGGATCCTTGTAAAGAAGGTACTTTTGGTGGAGGATGCAATAACACCTGTAACTGTTACGAATCCAACGAAACGTGTGCCTTTGATTCAGGGGAATGTTTATCTGGTTGCGCTCTGGGTTTCAATGGCACCGATTGCCGAACATTATGTCCAACCGGTACATATGGATCAATGTGTAATAGTTCATGTAATTGTCGTGATATAACGGAAGCGTGCGATCATGCAACAGGCCATTGTGATAAAACGGATATATGTGATCGGGTCACAGGACAATGCAAATTTGGGTGCTCTCCGGGATTTTCCGGCTTCAGTTGTCAAGATCCTTGTAAAGAAGGTACTTTTGGTGGAGGATGCAATAAGACCTGTAACTGTTACGAATCAAACGAAACGTGCGCCTTCGATTCGGGAGAATGTTTAACTGGTTGCGCCCTAGGTTTCAATGGCACCGATTGCCAAACATTATGTCCAACCAGTACATATGGATCAATGTGTAATAGTTCATGTAATTGTCGTGACAAAATGGAAGCGTGCGATCAGGCAACAGGCCATTGTATATCTGGGTGTTCTGCTGGATGGAGAGGTACGAGTTGTAATGAAGAATGTGCCGACGGTTATTTTGGATTTTTCTGTAAAGACATGTGTAGGTGTAAAAACGCTTCTGAAGTTTGCAACAAGAAAAATGGATCATGCACATCTGGCTGTCCTTTCGGATATTATGAGCATAACTGCCAAAGACCATGCCCGGATGGTAAATTTGGTGATGGGTGTTCCCTCTCCTGTAATTGTGATAACATTTACGATATTTGTGATAAGGTCAGTGGTTTTTGTCTTCAAGGCTGCGCAAAGGGCCACTATGGGGAAGGGTGTAAACAGGTTTGTCCTGATGGTAAATACGGAAAAGAATGTTCTTCTGTGTGTAACTGTCAATCTCGTGATGAAATCTGTGACAAGAAATCTGGGCATTGCTTCAGTGGTTGCCCGGATGGTTTCCGTGGAGATAATTGTAGTATCCATTGTGATGATGGGAAAATGGGATCTGCGTGTAAAAAGAGCTGCAACTGTAGAAATACAACAGAAGTGTGTAATAAATTTAGTGGCGAATGTCTCTCAGGCTGCCCAGATGGTTTTACAGGCAGAGATTGTCAAGATAGCTGCATTTCAGGAACGTTTGGTCTGAATTGTTCCTTGAAATGTAATTGCAATAACGGTACCCAATGTGATACAATTTCTGGTCGGTGCTTTTATGGTTGTCCGTTTGGATTCCAAGGAGATGCATGTCTAATTCCTTGTGCGGATGCCACTTTCGGTCAAGATTGCAAACACACATGTAACTGTTTCGACCTTGGAGAGGTTTGCAATAAATTGACAGGCCAATGTTCATCCGGTTGTCGGACAGGATATGTTGGAGAAAGTTGTTTGACTATGTGCAAAGATGGTAAATATGGCCGCGATTGTAATTTATCTTGTAATTGTTTGAAAAATACTGAAATATGTAATAAAAGAACTGGTGAATGTATGAGTGGATGTCCAAGCGGTTATTTTGGAAATGCCTGCACACAAGAATGCCCCGATGGCAGTTTCGGACAAAAATGCAACAAATCGTGCAATTGTTTCAATAGAAGTGAAATCTGCGATAAAGTTACTGGACAGTGTGCTGGACTATGCGCTGAAGGATATATTGGTATCAATTGTCTGTCAGCTTGTTCCGGGGGAACATTTGGATTGCAATGCAGGAATAGATGCAATTGTGTTGATACTGAAGAAGTGTGTAATGCAATAACAGGTAAATGTCATAGTGGTTGCTCGGATGGTTTCACATCAGTTGACTGCACAGAGGAGTGCCCAGATGGACAATTTGGATTCAATTGTCAACAGTTTTGTAGATGTCGAGATCCAAGTGAGGTCTGTGATAAAACAGTAGGTAGTTGTCGAAGTGGATGTGCTGAAGGATTTGTTGGACAAGACTGCCATAGCCAATGCGACGATGGTTATTTTGGAATGGCCTGTAACAGAACTTGCAACTGTCGCCTTCGTATTGAAGCTTGCCATAAGGAAACTGGATTTTGCTTTAGTGGATGTCCACCAGGCTTCTCTGGAACGGATTGTCATATGTCATGTACAGATGGTACAATGGGATCTTTTTGTAACAAAACTTGTAACTGCTATGACCCACAAGAAGTTTGTGAAAAAGCTACTGGCATGTGTCGAAGTGGGTGTGCCGAAGGCTTTACTGGTCTAGGGTGTCAGAAAGCATGTCCGAAAAGGAAGTTTGGTTCAGATTGTGTTCAGCATTGTGGACAGTGTCTTGGCCAAGGTGACTGTAACCCGGTGACAGGTTTCTGCAAGAGTAAATGTAAAAATGGATGGTCCCCCCCTATGTGTAATTCTTGTTCGGATGGATTTTATGGACCCAACTGCTCGCGGTGTGGTCATTGTGAATATGGCACTCTTTGTGACAAAGAAAGTGGAATTTGTTCAAAAGGATGTGACAAGGGTTGGCACGGGAGAATGTGTTCGATGACATGTTCTCTTGGACAATACGGAGAAAACTGTCGAATCCGGTGTGGCTTTTGTGCTTTGGGTGGTTTTTGTGATAGATATAACGGCACCTGCTATGGTGGGTGTCGCCATAATTGGCAAGGTGATAAATGTACCGAACGTCTTCAACAGCTTAATGGTCCAAACATTTATTCGCATAGTGAATCTTTCAAATTTTGTGGAAAATGTTCATTAACTGGACGATGTGCTCCAGAAAATGGTACGTGTATTGGAGGATGTCAGTCAGGATGGACAGGCGATGACTGTTCGGTTCCAGTTATTCCAACAAAGGGACAAACAAATGCGTTATATTTATTAGGAATCAGTACCTGTGTTTTAAGTATTATAATCTTAGTATTCATTATTATATATCTAGTAAGATTAGCGAAGGGAAAAACGAAAAAGAAGAAATTAACTGGGCAGTATGTTGAAATGTCATCCACTTTTGATAAACCGGAGAAACAATTTCGGGGGTTAGACAATCCGCAGTTTGAAGACATAATGTAATTCTTTAATAAAAACGATTACCCTGATTGATATTTACTGTCTTCAACATACGGAGGGTTTGAGGCGGTTAGTGCTTGAAGATAAGGCCAGCTTAATTTTTCGTCATAGGTTACGAGATGTGAACAGGGTTAGCGCTAATCCTAACCCTAACCCTGGACCTAGTCCCAAATGCTTACCCTAAGCCACTATTTGATGTTAATTCAAGCTCAAAATTGAAAAAAAAATCTGCAAATAGGGTTAAATTAAAGGGGTAAATTTTCAGAGGGCATGTACAGGTGGGGGTGGGGGGTGGGGGGGGGTAATATGGTCGGGAACAACATTTCATATTTTTTTTATTGTTTTTTATACGCCCACATTGAAATGTGGTCGTATATTGTCGTCGTCCCGGTTCGCTCTTGATGCTAAAGTTAATATCCGATTGACTTTAAATTTATACGCAGTGTTTAAGGTCATGTTTTTCAGTGATTTCCGATAATTACTGCCAGAGTTATGGCCCTTGATCACTTTGAAAAATCTTGTGGACGCTCTAGAGACCAAAGTTATCATCCGATTGACTTTAGATTGATAAACAGAGTTTAAGGTCTAGAGACGAACAAGTATATTTATTTTCAATGAATTTTGATAACTTGAACAGCTAAAACCATAATATTAAATGTTTCGTATACTAAACGTTAGCATTATGAAGATCTAAAAGCCAAACAATTTGTAATGATTTTCGGATAATTACTTAATGAGTTGATACTCTTAATCAGATTTTAGTGTATTATAAATGTTTCATTACAGTCAAAAGAAATAAATAAGCAACAACTCTTATTGACTGCACGGACGACTTAGCTGCTGTGGGCGTATGTTTCGTTGCCTGGCAACCTATCTTTACTATAATCACCATATTTGTTCACCGCTTTTTAGTCCGGTAGCTGCGGGGGGGGGGGGGGATCACCACCCGAGCTGTGAATTTATGAGACCAAGTTTTTTCTAGACCAGTAGGTTCAGAATCTGGGTGGTGATCATGCGTTTGAAGGTGCGTTTTTGAGATGGGGGGGGGGGGGGGTCTAATGTCTACAATTGGGTAGAAATGTCATTGGATAAGATAATATAAGATTTTATTGTATCATTTCATCCAGCAAGTACAGCATACACAGTTTTAACAAAATTCACATAAAAGTTTTCACTTCTATCTTGGCATTGTTTACCCCTTTAATTCATTTAGTATGGGACCGACTGCAGTGAGCACTTATTTTGAGACCGACTAAGTGACGTAAGAAATTTAGGTGCACGTATATTAAGTATTTCAGGTTTTTCCCTTCTAATCTGGCATTATTTGTTTACCTCATTAATTCATTTCGTCAGTCGCCGATGCATAATTTTGAGACCGACTACAGTGACTGCACTTATTTTGAGACCGGCTATTTTTAAAAAAAAAAAACATTTTTTCAAACATGATAAGTTGACAAGATTATTTTATACTAAAGTTTTGGGTGAGTAGCGTAACGTATGCAATTTAGGTGTACGGATTCGCGCAAATACATAAAAGTTGTGATTTTTCCTTCTATTTTGGCATTGTTTGTAGCCTATTAATTCAGTGAGCACTTATTTTGAGATCGACTGCACTTATTTTGCGACCGACTGCATATATTTTGCGACCGACTATTTTTTCTCCCTGGGGGAATTTTTTTTACTTAGACCAACTCACAACAGAATAAGGGTAAAAGACATTTTTTCAAACATGGTAAGTTGACAAGGCTATTTTATACTAAGGTTTTGGGTGAGTAGCGTGACGTATGCTATTTAGGTGCACGGATTCACGCAAATACATAAAATTTGGGATTTTTCCTTCTATTTTGACAATGTTTGTATTAATTCAGTGAGTCCTTATTTTGAGATCGACTGCAAATATTTTGCAACCGACTGCATTTATTTTGCGACCGACTATTTCCCTCCCCCCCCCCAACATTTACGCCTCTGAGTTTATTCGACCAGAGAGGAAAGTATCAAACGAACGGGGTGAGCGAATCAAGGTGAATGAATATTTTCGCCACGATATTTTCAGAAATAGACTGCTGGAAATGCAGCCTGGTAGTATTTCATACACTGGTCGTCGAGATAAATAGAGCTGACTTGATACTTTTCATCGCCAAATCACCATCTTATCCGAATAGAAAGGGGGGGGGGGGTCAAAGTGAACGAATATTCTCGCCGCGTTGAACCTATACCCAAAAAATTTGGGTTCACGTGTTATTGTTTATAGTAGGTTTACAGCATAAGAAATCATTCAGATTCTACAAAGTGCAAGTCTATGACTGAGTGGGGATGTGGGATTTAATCACAGTTGAAGGTATTTATTACCGAAACATATCACAAATACTTTTTTTATTTTCTAAAATTATTGCCCCCCGCTTTGGTGCCCACCACTGTCTCTTACGCGTGCTGAGCAAAACGGGACTCTATTGGTATTGACTAGGCACACGATCTTAGAATAAAATTATTGTCCCCCCCCCCCCCCTTGGTGCCCACCACTCTCTCTTACGCGTGCTGGGCAAAACGGGACTCAGTGGGTATTGACTACTCACTAGGCACACGATCTTAGTATAAACTTTCTTTTAAATAGTGACTATAACTTTAATATCTATTTAGCTATTCTATAAACAGGAAATAGTCGCATTCCATGTCAATTAGAGACATCCGGATGTTCTCGTCGTAGTCAAAACAAATTCAGGATAATATTGTAAAGATCTATTGTCTGCACACTATGGATTACAAATCATAGTTTTGCCCAGGCGACCTTTATTTCTGAAATTTTCGTTCTATACATTTCGTTCCCATCCAACATATTAAATTTTCTCACAAAATTAATACATCCATGAAAAATGAGCCTAAAATCCGGCAAATCTGGCTTGAAATAGAAATTAGCATTGCAAGAGTTCTTTTTTTTTTAATGCAAGGCAATTTTAAATAAATTCTTTCATGTTAGGATTGGAGGTGAATATACTCGTAAATACAACTGTGATAAATAAGGACTCTACGCGGGAGGATCGACGTCTTAACCGAATTTCTGAATTTTTTGATGAACCTTTTACAGCCCACTATTATTTTTTTTTTTAAATCCCATTTGATTAACTTTCAGTATCACCCTTTTCTATTTGTTTAATACATGTAGTTTGATTTTTCTTTTCTTACTAATACTTGAAGATCGGTTTATATTTATTAATTTGTTTTTATTGTATCTAGTTTTAAGTCTTTCCAGTTTTAGTAATATCATATTACAAATTCCAAATATTAATTCATTTTTGAGTAAACTGTTTTCTTTTTCTTGTACATTAAAAAAACATGTTCTTAATTAAATATCCTAAGGTAAAGATAGTTTGAGTAAAAAGAGAGAGAGAGAGAGAGAGAGAGAGAGAGAGAGAGAGAGAGAGAGAAATGGGGTTTAACGTCCACTCGACACAAACTAGGTCATTTCGAGACTAACACATGGTTTAATTTTATTTCAATAATTCGCTTGCGCGTAGGGGTCTTTAGCAGTGGGAGGAAACCGGAGGGTAGTTTGAGTATCTGACTTTAATAAATACGCAGTAGTAATAGTAAAGGCTATTGATCTATTGGCCTCATGTTACATATTTTACTTGGTAGCAATATACTACAATAAAATGACTAGCATTGAACAACAATTTGACTTGCGCGTCTGTTAGGGGTAACCCACCGCACAAACTGTCTGGCTGTTGTCATTCATGATTCCTGTAGTGGTACTGAACAACTCCAAAGCTGTTTTAGGTGGTACAGATTTCAACTAATCTAGCCTAGCTGTGGACTGGAAATTAGATAACTCTTGTCAGGGATACTCTACCACTACAAATGTCTGACAATTACATAGCTCTGTCAGGGGTAACCCACCACTAGAAATGTCTGTTAGAGTGTTTTTGTAACACCTGAAGATGTACGGTACACTGCTGTACGATTTTCATGTGGTACACTTTTGAGCTAATCTAGCCTAGTTGGGGGGCATGGCATTTTGGGCGTGGAATACCACGCCCGCCACCAGAAACCCGACAGACTTAGATTCTGATGATACCAGATATACATGCATTAATATCATATAGGAGAAAATTGGTACACTTTTCAGCTAGGTTAACCCCCTGGGCTCCCGTTCTATTACTTCTAATTGAGTGTGTGTATGTATGTGTGTGACGGAGGGTGAAATTCGATAAAACACCAAGCTGGATGCTTTTATAAAAAAAGATTAATGTGCAATTAATCAATGGATGTCGTTATTGCCCTTGATCAATTCGAAAAATCTTTTGGACACTCACGTGTCTTAAACATGCATTATGCAAGAGCAAAATCTGCCTATTGCAGGTCTTTCTTCGCTTGCAATAGAGTAATTTGAATGAAATTTTCAAGTTATTCATTTTACATCATCTACTTTCGAACTATTATAGCAAGAATGGCTAGTTCTTTATCTAAATCTTGCATAATGTGTCTTTAAATTGTTATTTAAAATTGACTCGAAATCTATACACAGTGTTTTTGTTCACGAGATTTTCAATAATGTCCAATAATTACTGTCGGGGTTATTGTTCTTGTTCAATTTAAAATTTTTTTGGACCCCCTGGACTAAAGTTATCATTTTATTAAGTCTGTTTTCAGTGGAACAACTAAAGTTATCATCTGATTACCGTATAAAAAGTGTTAAGTGCCGAACGACTTTGCTGTTACGGGCGTATGTTTCATTTGCTGGCAACCTATATTTGATATTTCGAGGAAAACAAATGTTCTCGTGTCGCAATAAATCTTCTGTAAGAAACAGTTATTCTTTATATTTAATTTATGGTTTTGTTATCTAACAGAAGGTACAATGAGAGTAATAATCATACTATAAACGAAAACGCAATCTACATACGGACCACACACATACAAATATATTTACTCGATGAAAATTGTGCATCTAAATAGCAAGATAGGATCTTGGAATAAATATATGATAGTTAAGTAGCGCGTGTGTGGCTAACACTTATATGTCAGCTCATCAAGAC